TCACTTTGAGTCAATTAAATTGACATATAGAAATTTCTTGTTTTGGAGAACCCAGCTAGTCCCGTTTCTTCGTGGCCAAGAACTTATGGGGTACGTTGATGGCGAATTGCCATGCCCTCCAGCGATGATTGAAGCCGCGCCTGCAACTGGAGAATCCACGACGTCCACCACCTCCGTTCCAAATCCAGCCCATAAGGCCTGGGTTAAGCAAGATCAAACCTTGATGTCTCTCATCATCTCATCCCTATCGGATGAGGTGATGCATCTTGCGTTAGGACAGTCCACATCCAAGGCAGTGTGGGATTCCATCAACACGTCGCTCGCTAGTTCCACTCGGGCGAGGTGTCTCGGCCTCCTCGGGCAGTTCCACGCCCTCAGGGAAGGTGGCAGCAGCACGACAGAATACCTCGGGCGCGCTCAGCTGCTGGTAGAAGACCTCGCGCATGCCGGCCGCCCAATTTCACTCGACGAACAGAACATGTTCGTCCTTCGGGGCTTGCGGCAGGAGTATCGCGCCATGGCGTCGTCCTTGACCGCGGCTGGTAATCCGGTCACCATACCGCAGATCGCGGATTATCTCAGGGCGCAGGAATTTCTTCATGCCGAGGACTATCCGGCGGCTCCTGAACATGCAAATCCGGCAGGCTACTATGCAGGTCGGGGCAGCAATGGTGGACGCGGCAGTGCAGGCGGACAGAATTCTGGCCGAGGTAATTCTGGACATCCAGGTCGTGGCAACGGTAGAGGAGGCGGTGGCCGTGGTCGCAACGACAGAGGGGGAGGCAGCGGACCTCGGTGCCAGATTTGTAGGGCACAAGGGCACACCGCCCTTTACTGTTTTAAGAGGTATGCTCCGCAACCGGCACCGCAAGCCAACATGGCTGTTCCGGGTGATGATGCGGCGACGAGTGCCTCCGCCTCGGGTTGGTTCCCGGACACAGGGGCCACGGCACATGCTACACCGGATGTGTCCATGATGTCACAGTCTGACGAGTATAATGGTGGTGATGTCCTGCGTGTTGGTAATGGCGCAGGTTTGATGATCTCACAAATTGGTCATGCTTCTATACCATCTGTGTCCAATGTTTCTAAAACACTAAATCTATCAAATGTGTTATATGTTCCCCAATTGTCTGTCCAGTTATTATTTGTTTATCGTTTAACAAATGATAATCCTGTTTTCTTTGAATTTCACAAGGATTGTTTCGTTGTGAAGGATTCGGTAACTCGGGCGGTTCGGCTTAAAGGGCCTACGGTCGGCGGGTTGTACAAGCTTCCTATTTCCCAATCCCATTTTGCGTTTCTTACATCTCGTACCACTCCGGTTGTCTGGCATCGCAGGTTGGGCCATCCCCATGCACATGTCCAGAATCAAGTCCTCAAGTTATGTCTAGTGTCATCAAATAAAACAAAGCCGGCCGAATTATGCACATCTTGTCAGCTTGGAAAATCTGCTAGATTTCCTATAAATAGAGTTCCCTCTTTTAGTACAAATGTATTAGATTTAATTTTCACGGACATATGGGGTCCGGCACATGTAATCTCTACTAGTGGATATCGTTACTTTCTGCTTTTTGTGGATGATTTTTCACGCTTTACGTGGTTTTATCCCTTACGGGTAAAATCCGATATATACAAATGTTTTGAGTCGTTTCGGGTCATGGTAGAACGCCAATTTTCACGTTCTATCAAGTCTGTCCAGTCTGAATTAGGCGGGGAATACCGTAAACTGCATCAAATATTCGAAAAATTGGGCATTGTTCATCGCCAGTCATGTGCGTATAGGCACAAACAAAATGACCGCGTTGAACGCAAAAATCGTCACATAGTCGAAACAGGACTAGCCCTCCTAGCCGAAGGCTGTGTCCCACCACAACACTGGGACTACGCCTTCGAGACAGCCACAAACTTAATCAACTACATGCCCACTCCCGTCCTAAACTATGAAAGCCCGTACAGTTGTCTCTATAAAACCACACCACCATACACTTTTCTTTGAGTCTTCGGGTGCCGATGTTTTCCCTATCTAAGGCCATATAATCGACACAAGATGGAATATCACTCGGCACCCTGTGTCTTCCTAGGTTATCCCTCTTCCTTTAGAGGTTATAGATGCATGGATCTAATAAGTGGGAAAATCTATATCTGTCGTCATGTACGATTTGACGAAACTGTTTTCCCTTTTTCAGAGTTGGCTACACAGGACACAACTATATCTCTGTTACCTGTTTTGCCGTGGGCATCTAGCCCGGTTGTCACACAAACAGGGCCCACAGCCGCTGTTGACTTGGGAATACAACGGTCTCCGAGTCCAATACCATTGGCGCAAGAGCCTGCCCCCTTAACAATTGAAGGCCCTGCACGGCCCAAAACTCGGAGGAAAAGGGTCGCACGGATCGAGCCTCAAGACCGAGGCCATGGAATGAGGCTGCGGCATATGACCCGTGGTACTGGTGAAAGTTTTCAAGCTCTCACTGTAACGGCTGACCCCACTTGTTATTCACAAGCAGTCGGACACCCAGAGTGGTGTGATGCTATGGACCAGGAGTTCAATGCGTTATTACATAACAATACTTGGACTCTCGTGTCTCCTAAACCGGACATGAATATTATTGGGTGCAAATGGGTGTTCCGTACCAAACGGACCGCAGATGGCTCCGTGGAACGGTACAAGGCTCGCCTAGTTGCGAAGGGGTTCAATCAGGTAGCTGGCGAGGACTTCTTTGACACATTTAGTCCTGTAGTCAAACCGACTACAGTCAGAATGCTATTTTCTCTAGCCATCTCACATAACTGGACTCTGAGGCAACTCGACGTCCACAATGCCTTCTTAAATGGGCATCTGGCAGAGACAGTATATATGAAACAACCGCCAGGGTATGAGGACCCGACTCATCCTGGCCATGTGTGCCACTTACAGCGGTCTTTGTATGAACTCAAGCAAGCTCCACGGGCATGGTTCAAAAGACTGCATGATTATTTACTCACTACAGGGTTTTCATCTTCTAAGACAGACGTCTCTCTCTTTCATTACTCAACCGGCTCCTCTCGTGTATACCTGCTAGTGTATGTCGACGACATCATCATGATGGGTATTGACCCCACACTCATTACCTCTATACTTCAGCGTCTATCTACAACCTTCAAGATACGTGATCTGGGCTCACATGGGTTCTTCCTCGGCATTGAAACTATAAAGACTACCGACGGCCTTATGTTATCTCAACGCCGGTACATGAATGACATTTTAACTCGGGCAGGTATGCTGGACTGCAAGCCTTAGCCACTCCGGCAGCAGCTACTCAGCCTGTTTCGTCTACCACCATTCCACATGATAATCCGATGCAATACCATCGGGTTGTTGGGGCTCTGCAATATTTGACTATTACGAGGCCGGATCTCTCATATGCAGTGAATCGTCTATGCTAGTTCATGCACTCTCCGGCTACTGATCATTGGGCTTTAGTTAAAAGGGTACTGAGATACATTAAGGGTACTCTGGATTATGGTCTTCGTATCACTGTCTCTGACTCCGCTACTATTCATGCTTACTCTGATTCAGATTGGGCAGGATGTCCTCTTGACAGAAAGAGCACTGGTGGGTACGCAGTGTTCTTAGGTAAAAATTTGATCTCATGGCTTTCCAAGAAACAGCGTACTGTTGCCCGATCATCTACTGAAGCCGAGTACAAGGCCCTTGCAGATGTCGCTGCGGAAGTTACTTGGTTTGTATCGTTACTCAAGGAGCTTGGTCTTCACACTGGTGAGCCCCCCACTCTGTGGTGTGACAATTTAGGTGCCACCTACTTGTGTGCGAATCTAGTCTTTCACGCTAGGACTAAACATGTTAAAATAGATTTTCACTTCGTTCGGGACAAAGTAGCATCGGGGGACCTAGTCGTCAATTTTGTGTCGACTAAGGATCAGCTTACAGATATTTTCACCAAACCGCTGCCGGGTTCGCGGTTTTCAGCTCTTCGGGACAAGGTCAATGTGGTTGCGCACCACCCTTGAGCTTGAGGGGGCGTGTTATCCAGAATATTGTTTTGTCACATTTTATGTTCCTTTTAATAATCTTTGTAATAGGCTTAGTCTTCTGTGACTTTCTTATTAGATATGATTTGTTTACGTAGAATTGTTTAGCTATTTGTACTGTACTTCCTATCCTTTTGGAGTTTAATCTAAAATCAATTATCTCATCATCACCACCTCATCCGGTGGCTCAGAACCCAGTCAATTACATCCAACCGGTATACCCGCCGCCCGGTCCGTAGTATCCGTTTCTCGGTTAGTATCCATACCCGGTCCCTCCTCCACAATATGGGTGTTGGCCCAGAACGCCGATGTATTATCCACCAACGGCTGGATATCCACAATATATGCCTGCGTACACGGCTCCAGCTTCCGCTCCTCCGATTTACCCGACCATGCCGACCGAGCCGGAGCTTCTGCCCGCTACCCGGGCTAGGCGCTCGGCTCGTTCGAGGTTGGGGTTGCAGGGTACCGAGGCCATGGAGGAATCACGGTAGGCTCAGCATGTCCAGCCGGAAGCACATGCTCAGGTAGCTGAAGGCCCTGAGATAGAAGCCAACCGGGCGATGGCATTCGAGCGGCTTCGACCAGCAATGCGGCAAAGATTGCGACCGCAGGATCCGAACAGACGCTCAGTTAATTCACCTATGCGAGCGGCAAGCCAGGAGGGGCCGTCTGGGCATAGTGGGTCTAAATCCCATCGACGACGCCGGGCTCGAGAACCAGCCCAAACGGTCGTGCAAGATGAGACCCGAGGGCTGGTGAACGAAGTCCAGGCAGAGTTCACTTGCTGGCAAAACGAGCACACTGTGATGCCTCCCACCGATCATTCAGCATCTCTCTTGAGGACACCCTTCACGCCGGAGATTATGGCCCAGCCTTACCCGCTCGATTTGCGCATCCTCGGCAACAAGGAATATGATGGGCGGAAAGACCCAGAAGTTCATGTCAACACCTAATATGGCAATATGATGATGATGGGCATGTCTGATGCCGTGATGTGTAGGGCTTTCTACTCCACGCTCATTGGTCGAGCGGCGGAATATTTTAGAACGCTACAACGGGGCTCCATTTCTGATTTTGCCAGTTTGGCGGCAAAGTTCATGCGGAAGTTTGTCACTTCCAAAGTTATTCGGAAGCCCTATATGTACCTCGAGAAGGCCAAGCAGTTGGAGAGGGAAAGCTTGACAGAATTTATAGTCAAGTGGAAAGCGGCGGTCGGGGAGGTTAAGCCGATGGACGATCTGACGGCTATCCACATGTTGCATATTTCCCTTTGGGCCGATTATCTTTATCAGGATTTTATACTCCACCCTCCAACCACTTATGAAGACGCCCTCCGAAGAGTGACGGATTACACAAATGCTGGTGAGGCAAATTCCGTCAAGAGTTCGCAAGAGGTCGGGACATCATCCCGGAAGCCTTCCGGTCGGGCGGATCATCAGTCAGAAGATCATTCCCGACCCCGTACCCAACCAGGAGAGTTCTCGGCGTTGAACCGATCAGCGGCGGAGGCCATGCAATACGCCCAGTCCTGCAACCATATCCGTTTGCCTCAGCCGGGACTGGATTGGCCCGATAAGTCCAAACATTATGCCTATCATCGGTGCGCAGGACATGACACGGAGAAGTGCACACATTTAAAACAGCTGTTGGAGGATTTGCTTAACTTGGGAAAGCTGGACAAATGTGTGGGGAAAAGAGAAGAGAACAAAAGAGTGGGCGAGAAAAAAGATCAAAGGCGATCTCATCATCGCTCCGATCGCAGAGATCAAGATCGGCGAGATCCCGATCCTCCATCTAGTTCCCGACCGGCGTCCAAACCAACCATCCACGTCAAATTCGGAGGTTTGGAAGATGCTTCCCGCCCTCGGGAAAGTTGCCCGGTCGCGATCGTCGACTCCCGGGACACAGGTAAGAGACAAAAGATGGAGCCCATCACCTTCACTCTGGAAGACCAGCCGGAAAGCGGCGATCATGGAATGGAAGCCCTGGTTATCACGATTGACATTATGAGAACCGATGTTCAGAGAGTAATGGTGGACACCGGGAGCAGTGTGAACGTCCTTTATTTGGACGTGTTCGAGAAGCTGAAATTGTACAAGCAGGAATTGATTCCGATCGGTGTTCCGTTTTCAAGATTTACCGGGGCCACCATTCGCCCCGAAGGCAAGATTATACTCCTGGTTGAGATCGGCACCCCACCAAAGTCAGTGAAAACGGAGCTGGAATTCGTTGTGGTCAACCTTCACTGTGTCCACAACGTCATCTTAGATCGACCGGCCATTATGAGGGTCGGCGGGATCGTATCGATGTCTCACTTGTGCATGAAGTTCCCCACCCCTGCCGGGGTTGGAGTTGTGCGAGGCGATGTCCAATCGACTAGGAAATGCTACACCCGGGCAGTCAATCGACGTGAGGCTGGTTCTTCCCGAGTGAACACCATTATCAAGGAAGCCGTCGGAGATCGAAAAGAACAACCCGAGCCCTCCGAAGAGATTGAAGAGGTTCCTTTATCTGAGGAATGACCGGAGATGAAGATCAAGATAGGTTGGGCCCTCACCCCCGAGCTACGAGTGGAAGTGCTATCGATCCTCTGGGAATTCGCTGATATATTTGCATGGGGGCCTGAAGACATGCCCAGGATCTATCGCACTGTAATTTGCCACAAGCTAGCTGTAGATTTCGCGGCTAAACCAGTCGTTCAAAAGACTCGGCATCTATCATCCGATCGCTGAGAGTTTGTTCGCGAGGAGGTGAAAAAGATGGTGGCCATCGGACATATCCGCCCGGTCACTTATCCCGAATGGGTGGCCAATATTGTACTCGTGCCGAAGCCTCCATCCTGGAGAATGTGCATAGATTTCACCGACCTGAACAATGCGTGTCCGTTAGATCCTTACCCGCTGCCGAACATCCACCAGATGGTCGATGAGACGGCCGGGGCCGAGCTGATGAGTTTTATGGACGCGTTTAAAGGGTATCATCAAATCATGATGAACCACGAAGATGAAAGTAAGACGGCTTTTGTCACACCCGATGGGTTATATTGTTATCGGGTCATGCCGTTCGGCCTCCGAAATGCAGGAGCGACATATCAAAGGATGATCAATATGCTCTTTGAAGACCTGCTAGGCCGAACAATGGAAGCCTACATTGACGACATGCTGGTGAAGAGTCGGGACCGAGCGGACCACACTCGGGATCTCCAACAATGTTTTCAAATCATGAGGAAATACCAGCTGCGATTGAATCCTAACAAGTGCACGTTTGCGGTGCAAACGGGAAAGTTCCTCGGCTACATGATGACAAAGAGAAGAATCGAGCCAAACCCCGCCAAGGCCAAAGCTATTCTTGATATGCAACCACCCACGACCGTTCGGGAGGTGCAACAGTTAACCGGCAGGTTGGCAGCCTTGAGCCGTTTCCTTTCAAAATTGGGCGAGCGCGCCTTACCATTCTTCAAGGTATTGCGCAAAGTTAATGGGTTCGTGTGGGATGACGTGTGCCGAGTGGCTTTTGACGAGATTAAAGAATATCTGATGTAAACGATCGTGTTGTCAAAGCCCGAGCTCGGAGAAGAACTGGATGTCTATCTCGCCGTTTCCGATCGAGCTGTAAGTGCGGTTTTATGCCAAACATATTCGGAGGGAGTGCAATGACTGATTTACTATGTGAGTCACGCGCTCCATGGTCCCGAGCTCCGTTACTCCCGGCTAGAGAAGATAGTCTATGCTTTGTACATAGCGGCAAAGAAGTTGGCCCCCTACTTTCAAGGTCGAGCCATTCATGTGTTAACCGATCAGCCGATCGGAGCAGTTCTCCGCACCGCTTCTTCTTCTGGACGCCTAGTCAAGTGGGCGCTGATGCTGACTCAGTATGAAATCGAGTACCGACCGAGACCAGCTATAAAGGGTCAAGCTCTGGTAGATTTCTTGGTCGAGTGTACCGTTCGGGAGACACGACCCTCGGTGGTCGAGGATCCTGAGGCGGCATGGTGGTCGTTGGCCACCGATGGATCGAGCAGCAAGAAAGGAGCATGTGGGGGAGTCGTAATTACAAGCCTGAAGGGTTTCAAAGTCTACTATGCATTGATGTACCAGTTCCACCCAACCAACAATGAAGCCGAGTATGAGGCCTTTGTCAATGGCCTACAGTGCGCTCGAGATTTGGGGGCTGAATACATCCGGGCTCAGACTGACTCTGCACTAGTGGTCGGACAGGTCTTGGGCGACTACGAAGTCAACGGAGAGCGGTTACAAGCATACCGAGATCTCGCCATGGAGAAGCTGACCATGTTTCGGGGGTACACCGTTCATCATGTTCTCCGACTAGACAATGCTGATGCTGACATCTTATCTAAGTTGGCACAAGATGCCCCGGAACACATGTCCAAGATAGCTCGGATCCTGATGATCCCGAGGCATAGCATACACCGATTGCAGGTCGCACCTATCCAGCCGGCCGAGGAAACTTGGATTTTGGATTTAATGGAATATCTCCAGCATGGTCGGTTACCAGACGACCCTCAGCGCGCCCGGAAGGCCAAGTTAAGAGCACCAAGGTTTCAAGTTCAGGAAGGCCGATTGTATAGGCGGTCGTATGGAGGTCCATTGATGCGTTGTTTGACTTCAATCGAAGCGGACCTTGTGATGAAGGAATTGCACTCGGGCATTTGCTCGACGTATCAAGGAGGTCGGTCACTCGCTCACCGCATTATGGTGATCGGGTACTATTGGCCATCTATTCAGCTTGATTGTGAAAAGCTTGCAAGAGAGTGCGAGACATGCCAGTTATATGCTCGAATGCCTGGACGACCGGCCACGTTCTATCAGCCGGTCATGACCGCAATTCCTTTTGCTCGTTGGGGGGTAGACATTTTGGGACCTTTCCCACAGTTAGCCGGTCGGAGGCGTTTCGTCATCGTGGCTATCGATTATTTCTCCAAATGGATCGAGGCTGAACCCTTAGCCACGATCACTTCACAACAATGCGCCAGGTTTCTATGGCGGAATGTTATCTCCCCGTTCGGTGTGCCCGTTCATCTGATCAGTGATAACGGCCGGCAGTTCGTAAACCAGTATTTCCAGAATTTCTTAGCAACGATCGGGACAACCTCAATCTGATCGTCAGTGGCTTACCCGCAAGGCAATGGACAAGTCGAGAACGCCAACCGGACAATCTTGGAGGGCTTGAAGAAGAAGTTGCACTCTGCCGGTCGTACGTGCTTTGGACCTATTGCACGACCCCGAGGGAGGCAATGTTGGAAACACCGTTTGCTTTAGTCTATGGCGCTGAAGCTCGGCTACCGATCGAAGCATAGATCCCGACCGCCAGGGAACGCTCTTCCAATGCGGAAGAGAATGAACACTCCATGGCCATGGACCTAGACAGCATTGAGGAGAAAAGAGAGATTGCGGCTCGGCGCATGGCCGAGTACCAAAAGAGGGTCAAGAGCACAAAAGATGTCCGGGTCAATCCCCGCTACTTTCAGGTCGGAGACTACGTATTACGACGTCAGGAGGCGAGCCAACCGTTAGAAGGAGGTAAATTGGCCCAAAATTGGGAAAGTCTCTATGTCATCACAACCGTAGTCTGCCCGGGTACCTACCGGTTGGAGACGACAATCGGGGGAGTGATCGAGGGCACATGGAAGTCGGGGAACCTTGTACTGTTTAGACATTAATATAATTACATAATTGTAGATGGAGTGGGGACTCAACCTGCGAGTGAGCACGTCCATCGTTAATTGCCTGTGTTAGGTTTGTAAAAATTTGACCGTCTACGTACAGGAATTAATATTGTAATATCGATCGGTGATTGCTTGACTGTTTGTACAAAGCGGCCCGATCGGTTTGCGCATCAGTTAAATGTTAAGTAGTTTTGGTTAAATCTGCTTCAGAAGTTGGTCTTGCTCGTGCTTCGCCTGACTGAGACTCAACATCAACAATCGAAGAGGGGCGTAAGCCCCACGACCACAATGTTGCTTAAACTTGCCCGAACATACCGGGGCCTAATTTCAGTTACAACTGATAAAGGTACACACCTCTCCCTCGGTCCCGACCGATAGGGGTATACACCTAATTGGCTTTGAAAAGTCATTAACATTTTAACCGGACAACTAACAACGCTCGGCTTCTAATGCTCATCTTCGGCGGACACTCGGGTCATGCCATCGATCGGGGAAATCAGAGCTTCAAGATACATACCCGATCGGCATTACTTCTTTCCACTGTCGCACTCACTCGTGCCTCATGAGCACGGCAGTGTGGGGGCTAGGGGAAAGGGGCCAATAGGTCAAGCGGTCGGGCAAATGCCCGGTCAAAAAGGTCAGCAGGTCAGAAGAAGGCCGGTGGGCCAATAGGTCGTGCAAAGAACGACCAAGATGTGATTAGTTAAAATCGCAAAAGTCGAACGAAATAGAGTTTGACAAAAACTTAATTTTATTTAATAATAAAAGTGCCCGGTATAAAACGGGACCGGGCTCCCGATGGAGTGCACTTCAAGAAAGCAAAAAATGAACTAGTACATGGTCGACAACTACACGACCGTGTCTACGTTCTTCGCAGCGCTGCTGGGCTCGGCCGCATCCTCATCAGATGGCTCGGTGAATGGCGCTGGGCCGGGGTCGGCAACCTCGTCCGGAAGGGTCGATAGCACGGACTTCAAATCGTCGCCCTCGAAAACTTCTTCCATAATGGATCGGGTTTCCTCTCGCATAGTCCGTTGGCCGGACTTGAAGGCCCAATGCCCGAACATCCAGATCAGGTCCTCCCCGACCTTGGTCTTCATTAGTTCTTTGAAGAACTTTTCACCCGATGCTTCATCCCGGCAAAGGAACTTTGCTAAGCCCTCAAGGTTCCCCAGTCGGGACTTGAGGTCGGACGCCTCTTTTAGGGACGCCCCAGCAGCTTTCTCGGCAATAGCCAAGGCCTTTTCGGTCGACTTTAGCTTGTCCTGGAGATCAGTGATTTCTTTCCCTCGCCGATCGACGATCTTCTTAAGAGCGTTGGCCTCATTGGCCAACAGCGCCTGGCGCTGAAGATGTTGGATCGCTCGGGATAGCTCGACCAAGAAGTTAAAGAAGTAATGAAATTATACCTCGACCAAGTCATGGCTGCTTTTCTCAGCCACTTGCTCGGGCGTGAGGTTGCTGAGATCTTCCCTGACCGGTTTAAGGTTGCCGATCCGGGTGAGGATAGAGTCGCTGCCCGTGACAGCTCCGCTCAGTGGGCTGTTTTGTTTCCGTCGGTGCTTGAGTGCGCCCCCCTCTTCCGTGTCGGCCACGGTCGCCTTCTCTTTTCCCTTGTGGCCGACGGCCCGAGGAGCCAGGACATCAGTCGTTATGTCCTTGACTACGGCCCCTTTAGCCGTGGTTATTGTGGAAGCACCCAGTGGGCGAGCGGTCGGGATAGGCTCGCACTCGGTTTCTTTATCGCCGGATGATCCGGCATCATTCTTCTTCTTCCCGAGCGTTATTTTGGCTCGGGGGGCTCGGGGTGCGCTACCCGACTGGAAGCTGCGTGGAGGACCCATCTCTGCAAATAAAACCACACGGTTAAAATAATAAATCAAAGTTTTAATCGGGAAAGCATGCGAGGATTCAGTGGGTGTTCGGGCATATCTGGGCGGGTAGTACCCGATAATAGCCCAAGAACGCGGTTAAGAGGCCAGAGAAAGGGAAAGTGATCGGGGCTAGCAGGGAATCATAGTGCATCCCGATCCACTTTCCTTGGTGGCGTTCCTTTATGTTTCCTAAGGATCGTCGGATGTCAAATCGAACCCGACCGTTCAGCCTTTCAGCAATCATTAATGCTTCGCTGGTCGTCAGCAGCCATTCTTGCTGCTCGACGCTTTCGCTGTTAAGGAAAATTAGCTCCGGTCCGACGGCCGGTGCGGTCGGTTCTTCCTCGATTGGGTCTGGTGTGGCTTCCCGATCGTTGGCGGGGGTAGAAGCCCCGGGGTCAGCTCCTATTGTCCGTGTGGGCGTTTCCCGAACGTCTTCGACCGGGTTTCCTCGGCCACTTGTTGAGGTGCCGTTGCTACTGTCGCATTCGCTGCTCGAGCTATCTGAACCACTCGACCTTGATGAGCTCTCTGAGCTGGAAGAGTGGTGGCGCCTGGGAACGACTCTGGGTGGTCATTGAACGACCTCGATATGTTCGGGCGAGGATGCCTCTATTTCTATTTCCGCGCTAACTTCCTCGACCGCATCGTCGTAATCCGCTCCCGAGATATTTTGACTGTCTGAACTTGACATTTCTTAAAGGAGACGGTCGCGTTTTCAACAGGAGGGGTCGGTTAGGGTTCGGTCGGGGTTAGTTGGCCGCCGTAGTTAGCCGTGGTGTGAGTAAGGTAAAAGATAAAAGGAAAGAACAGAAAAACGAAAGCTTACCGATCGACTGCTGATTGATTGAAGTGGTTGAAACCTGTTTGCTCGATCGACGCATAGTGTAATTCGCTCAGGACGCTCCGATTGCTTTTCACGGGTTGGTAAAAGTTCAAATGAACCTCAGAAGGGCCTATTTATAGGAAAATATTTGGGCGGGAAACGCCCCACTTGCGCGACGTGACTGTTACAGACTCCGAGGCGTGCAGAGGCCGACACGTGGCAAGACAGGCGACAGCTGTCCGGTCGGGATTGCAGGCTGAGTGATTGGACCTTTTCATCCCTTCCTGTTTTTTCCTGAGCGGTCAAAAAGGCCCGGGCTGGGGGGCTTTTGGTATGATATATCCCGACCGACATGGCTCGGTTTTTCTTGTTCTTTGTGCAGGTTTGATAGGTTGGATATTCTTATAGAAGACGGTCGGACCCGACCGGTAGACTTCCCGACCGATCGCCTTTGCCACCCGGTTAGCTACCCTTGTTAAGGATCTCGAGAATAGGCATGTGGCAATGTTACACGTTGACACAGAAGGCTCGCGGGATGGTGACGTGTGGATGCTACGTGGGTTACATGCCGGCCGGCCGGAGCTTTGTCTCCGGCCTAGCGGCTATAAGTACCCACGGCGGCTATAGTGTGAAGGACTTTTGGAACGATCGATAGATTATCTACAGAGCTGCCCGACCGCAGTCAGTCGGCCCTCGAGATAATCCCTTAGATTGTATTAAGTCCTTCTTGATCAATAAAAGAATTTATTTGCTTTGACTTGATCGTATTAAGTACCTTGACCGCTTAACATACACTCTCGGATAGACATGTAATGATTGTGAGATTTTCTCGTTAATGTAAAGAAGACAAAAAAAAAAATGATTTTGCAGGTGTTTGATAAATAGCTCTTAGCGGTTAGCTGTTAGCTAATTAACATTAGTTTAATGTAGAAAAGTGTTTAGAAAATTAGTTGATAGTCGATAAAATTCAAAATGACTTTTACAAAACGTTGATCGAATTGAAAAAGCTGCTTTGAACAGGTTTTTGAATTTTAGTATTTTAGAACAATAAGTTGTTATAAAAAAACAAATTAATTAAACACGCATATTAATTGTTTAATCAAGTTAAATAATTAATAGTTATAATTAAATAAGTCAAAATTGATTGATAAGTTAATTATGATCAAACCGGCGTTTATGAAATGACGATTTTGTAATAGCGAATTAAATGATGGATGTAAACCTCATTTCATTGTATCCATATTTGATGGTAGAATATTCTCCATATATTCATTGTTAGTCAAGGTTGTGATATGCGGAGTAATTTATGTTATGTTAGGCCGTGAAAGTTCTTGAACGGCACAATTAGGGGTGTAAATGAGCCGAGCCGCTCGCGAGCGGCTCGTGAGCGGCTCGGTCAACGCTCGGCTCGAGCTCGGTCAAAATCGAGCTCGAGCCGAGCTCGAGCGGCTCGTCAAATAAACGAGCACGAGCCGAGCCTAGATACTCTAGGCTCGTGGCTCGTCGAGCCGGCTCGCGAGCCGTATAATATACAATATAATATATAATATTATATAATTAAAATATATAAAAATAATAATTAAAATCTAAAACTCAAAAGTGAAAACTTAAAAGCCCTATTGTTTTGAACATATCCGGGACGAAATATATATGTACAAGGAATCAAGGACTACTACTGTTGACTTGTGTTTTGTTGTGATTTGCAAACTTATTTTGAATGTTTTGATTTTTGAAGTTTGAACAAACAGACTTGTGTCTTCACTATCTTTTACTTCGTTGCGAAATTATTTTGAGTGTTTTGATTTGAAGTTTGTATTATTTATGTATGGATAAAACAGAGCAGTTTAAATTTTAAATCAAATAGGTTAAACCGTCAAATTCAAGGTTAAGATCGAGCACGCATTTGAACCCGAGCTCGAGCCTGATCTCGAGCTCGAATTCGAGCTCAAAATCAAGCTCGAACTCGAGCTCAAGATCGAGTTCGAGCTCGAGCTCGAACAATCGAGCTGCTCGAGCCGAGCTCGAGCAGCTCGATAATTGCCGAGCTCGAGCTCGAGCATCCAGTTACGAGCTCGATCGAGCTCGAGCTCGAGCTCGAGCATAGCTGCATTTAACGAGCTCGAGCTCGAGCATACCCATGCTCGAGCTCGGCTCAACTCGTTTACACCCCTAGGCACAATACAATGAAGGATTTTCTGTTGTTTATTTTATTTTATTTTTGGAAATGGATTATCTGTTGTCTATTCTTCAAGTTTCAGTCAACATTGTCTGCACTGATCGATCTTATAGAACCTTAGAATTTTTGAAGTCTTTGGAACTTTCACCGGATTGCTGTGTCAAACTCTACCGAATCATTATTGTTTGGACCATTTACACTATTAAATACTCCTTCCGTCCCGAATTGGATGTCTCATTTACATTTTGCACGTTTTTTAATGAATTAAAGTAAATGTTATGCACTTTCCAATTATGCCCCTCACTTTTTCACTTTTGGAAATAAAAACAATAAAGAAAGCAAAAGTTAGAAGGGTAATTTGAAAAAAGTAGAATGATGGTGATGTTCAATTTTGGAAAGTGGACAACATTTTGGGACAGACTAAAAAGGAAAGTAAGACACATAAAATGGGACAGAGGGAGTAATATACACTCAATACACAAATATAATGTACTTTTAATATATTAAAAATGTACATTATATTCAAGGAAAACACAATATTTGAGTACTGAAAGTACATTATTTTGTATAATATATGAGTTAATATTCAAAATTGTCCTCGACTATATGAATTTTTCTTAATTTTATCCTAAATGACTTTGGTGTTATAAAATCGTCCTAGCCTTTTGTGTTATCGCTTAATATTGTCCTCCGTTTGTTAATCTGTCAAAAGGGTGTTATGTACAGGGATAATATAGTTATTTCATATTTAGGTCTTCTCTCGGTCTCCTTCCTTTACTTCACCGGTCTTCTCTTGGCTTAAAGTAAATAATTAAATATTATCTGGATTGTTGGCTCAGAATCTAATGACGGCCCAACCTCCGACGGGAACAGGGATGGTGTTTCGCTCTTGGGGGTTGTAGAAGTTGAACTTGCTCCGGTCAACGGAGAGGTTATAATTGCCGAAGGCTTGAGCTAAGACATGGAAATTGAAGCCATGCAAGTGTATTAGGTGATTTTCAACGCCGATCAAAGCCATGTTCTGAAGCACAATCTCAACTATTGCTTTGAACTTCACTTTCGTGGATTTCGTGGTGGGTAACAAAGCCGGATTGAGGCTGTTGTTCGCGTTTGTGTAGTCGAATATCACCAGTGGCCACTACTACAGAATTCACATACAACGTCGGGTCTTTAACGTCGGCTATATAAATAGCCGACGTTAAAAACATTAAAAATTTTTTTTTTATAATTAAGTTTATAACGTCGGCTATTTATTAATAGCCGACGTTATAAATAAAACATAAAAATATAAAAGAAATACGTAACCTACGACGTCGGCTATATTAATAGCCGACGTTGTAAGTTGTTTATTACTTTTTTAAAAAAAATTATTTATATATAACGTCGGCTATTTCCCTTTAGCCGACGTTATAAAGAAAAAAAATATATAATAAGACGTCGGCTGACTATATAGCCGACGTCGTATTCTTTTTAATTTTTTTTTTCTAATTTTTTTTTCTTTATAACGTCGGCTAACTAAAGTAGCCGTTAGTTAGCCGACGTTATAAAGGTTATTAAATAAAGCCAAGACAGATCAAACGACCCGATCTCAGACCACCGCATCGCATCTCCTCCATTTCCTCCGATCCATCTCCTCCCCTCTCATCCATCTCCTCCATCTCTTCTTCCTACCGCCTCCCCCGCCGCTGCCAACGCCGCTGCAACCCGCCGACGTCGTCCCCGACGCACACTCCTTCCCCGCCGACGTCGTCCCCGCGCCGCCGCTGCAACTTCATTCCCCCGCCGCCGCCGCTGCAACTTCAACCCCCGCCGCCGTCGCTTCACCCTCTCCTCCCCACGGCCGCACCGTCTCAGACCGGTCGCTTCCCTCCGCCGCTACGCCATCGACGGACACTACCGGTACGTTATATATATATATATATATATATATATATATATATATATATATATATATATATATATATATATTATTAATTAATTTCGAATTTTATTAAATTGATTTGCAATTTAGGGTTTGTTTGTATATATTTGTATATTTTATTGATTAATTTTGAATTTTAGTCAATTTATTTGCATTTTAGGGTTTATTTGTATATATTTGTAATTTTTATTGATTAATTTTGAATTTTAGTCAATTTATTTGCATTTTTGAGTTTATTTGTATATATTTGTAATTATTATTGATTAATTTCGATTTTTAGTCCATTTATTTGCATTTTAGTGTTTGTTTGTATATATTTGGTAATTGGTATATTCTAGATTGTTTTGTAATCGGTAATTATTTGTATATAATTTGTAATTGTAATTGGTAATTTGTTATTGGTATAACTCTACAAAATTCTCTAACTTAATAACGAAAAAATTAATTAAGTATTTAATAATAATTTTTTAAAATTATATAATATAGGATTAACAACTCTAGAATTAACGAATATTGAGGTTAGTTGAAAATTTAGAAGATATGAATTGATGGATTAATTTGTTGTTGGACTTCATTTAATGAATTGGTGGGAAGAGGCAGAAAAGACATACCTAGGAGAAGAGCTCTCTGATGTTTTGCTGTACCTAGTGAGGCTGTCTGATGTGTGTGGCATTGATCTTGGCAAAGCTGCACTTAGAAAAGTTGAGCTTAATGCCTAGTCTTTAGCTGTACCTAGCTTAATGTCATTAGCTGCATCAACATTGAGTAATGAAAGGTTATATATCTTTGTTCGATTTGTAAGAAATTAAAATGAGATTACATTAGCTATTATGTAATGTGCAACTGTTAACAATGGCTTATAAAATTATTTTTGTCAAATTTGTAAGTAATAAGTTTAGTTAGCTGTCAACTACCATGTAGTGTGATGACATCTCAGTTACCATTCCAAATTTATAAGCTTTGCTATTTATACTAACGTTGCTCCAGAATATCAAGAACCACCAAAAGAAAAAAAAAATAAAAAATCCCATTAGAACCAATGTGACATCTAACCTACTAAGTTGTGATGATATTTCTAGTGAAATGCAATAGCTGAGGTGAGTTTAATTTGTGTGTTGTTTTCTGTACTCTTGGCTAAATGATGCATACTAAAATCAAGATGTAGTCTTGGCTATATATGAACAGGCAAATGAGGGGAGAGGAGCTTCAAGAATTGAGTATTGAAGAGTTGCAGCAGTTGGAGAGGTCCCTTCAAATAGGTTTGGGCCATGTTATCAACAATAAGGTTTAATTTGTGCTACCCAGTGATATTATGGTTTATTGTTATGATTATATATATGGTCTATTATATTTTTCACAAACATTTATTTTTTCGACTAATTTGTCAGGGTGAAAAGATTATGAAGGAAATAAACCAGCTTCAAGAAAAGGTATACTAGTGTTGTTTTAAGGTTGAGTACTCACAGTGGTGAATTGAAGTTTCAAAAATTGCAGGGAGTGCATTTAATGGAAGAAAATGAACGATTAAGACAGCAGGTATTGGCTCTATATAATAGAATGTACAAATTAAACCTACATTTTCCCACATAACAGGGAACTGAAAATCAGTTGTTGTGTGATATAATGTGAAGATGGTGGAGACATCAAAAAGTTAGAGATCGATGGCAGTAGCTCCCGGGAATTCAGAGAACCTGTTGAACCAGGAATGCGGCCTATCCTCTGAGTCTGTCACTAATGCTTGCAAGTATCCTGGCATCCCACAAGATTATTATGAACATTGTCAAATATAAATTATACTTTTTTTTTCTTTCTTTTTCTTGCATACTGCTTTGCTGGTATCTGCATCTCGTTGGATGAAATTAAGTTCAAACTCTTAATCTTATATGCTTAAACGACTCAAACGTACTCTGTCGTCTCTTTGAATTTGAGTCAATACAAATGGTCGTTAGAGCTCGATACTTAACCATCGGGCTGGCTATAAGTATATGAACTTGTTAATTGGCTGTCATCCTTTTCTTCTTTCTTAAAGTCCATTCATTATGGCAGGTTGCCCTACACAGGCTGAATGGAGAATCCTAAACAGTAACCACTGGTTTAAGAGTCTTCTAACTTCTTTTTTTGGGGTACTATTTATAATTGCAGTAATTATGTATTAAGTACTTATATATTTTCCAAGTGTTACGTTGATCCTAATGTTTCAATTTTAGGTGTGTCAATTCAGTAAAGTTGTTGAGAAGCAATGGATCAACTCGTTCACCAAAATGGAGGTAAGGTTTTGGTAAGTATTTTATACATTTGTAAAACTACATATATTTTATTATTTTTTATTAAATAAAATTTTAAATGTAATTTAATTCAAATGTAGTGTGCTCAACAAGTTGGAAGTACGGCATGTGGATATTATGTGATAAAATACATGCTTGAAATTCTTTCCAAAGAAGCATGTGCTGGAATGAATAAGGCATGTAATTTAATATAATACCTTTCTCTTTCTAATTTTAAAAATGCTAGCTTACTAATTATTTAATAATTATCAACTTTGTAGATTGTTGAGAGAGTTGGTAGATCGAGCTACACTCAACAAGAAATTGATCAAGTAAGAGACGTATGGGCCGACTTCTTTTTCTTTGTTGATGTATGGTTAAGTATGTAAATTGAACAAATTGATATTAGCTTTTGATAATGTTAACTTGTATTATTAATTAGTATCAAATTGTGAGATTTATTACTTTTATTACTTGTTTCATTATAAATATTAGATTGTACATATTTTGCTGTGGTTGTGGTGCAATAATTGAGCAGGTTTTGATTGTGGTTGTGAGAAATTGAGCAGGTTTAGGTTGTGGTTGTTGTTGTGAGTAGATTTGAGCAGGTTTTTGGGTATAAATAATGGACAAATAAATTGTATATTAAAAAAAAAAAAAAAAACATACAACGTCGGCTATTAAGTAATAGCCGACGTTGAATATATTTTTTAAAAAAATAAATAACGGTTACAACGTCGGCTAATAGCATTTAGCCGACGTTGTATAGTATTTTAAAAAAAATTAAAATACTTACAACGTCGGCTAAATGCTAATAGCCGACGTTGTAGGTATTTTATAAAAAATTAAAATACCTACAACGTCGACTAATAGCATTTAGCCGACGTTGTAAGTATTTTAATTTTTTTTAAAATACTATACAACGTCGGCTAAATGCTAATAGCCGACGTTGTAAGTATTTTATTTTATTTTTTAAATACTATACAACATCGGCTAAATGCTATTAGCCGACGTTGTAAACTTTATTTATTTATTTTTTAAAATAATATATAACGTCGGCTATTTATATAGCCGACGTTATAGATAATATTTACAACGTCGCCCAGAACAACTACGGAACATAGCCGACGTTAAAAGCTCTATTTAGCCGACGTTAAAAGCCTGCTGTGTAGTAGTGGGCCAGTCAGGGAAGTCGGTGTTGGAAAAATAGCATTAAAATGACATAAAATGACATGTTAAGTGGCTATTTTGTGGTACAATTATCAGTGGGGTCCACTTCCGATTTGGATTGGGTCAAAGTGGATTCGGGTTCTTCGTAGTGAGACGAAGAGATTGATATATTGTACGTTCAAAACGGATAATGGGTGAATGAGATATTGATTATCAAAGTAGACCCATTGAGTTGGAAAAATGTAAGGGAAAAGTGAGCTTTGTCCCACATTGATTTGGAAAGAGGATTTCACCCCCCTTTTATACAAGAGCTCTTTTGGAGCTTGTAGAATTGTATAGTATAGAGGCTCTCTCGCGCGCGGGGGCGGGGGGTTCAAAACAAATTCCAACTAGAATCGAGATCGAACAGGCTTGATTCAAGCCCGAGCTCGTGTGCGCCGGCACGAATGTCGTCCGGAAATTGACTCTGCCTTGCGGGCTAAGTTATGCCAATTTCTGTACAGTTTTCCAACACTATATGGCCACACCACGAGAGATCACCCGAGATCAAGTGATCTCTCGTGCGCTGTCATGAGGTCACACGAGAGTTTGACTCTCGTGTTGTTAGCACACACGAGAGTTCAGTCTCGTGTGCACTGAAGCACGAACTTTCGTGCATTTCGAAAGTAACTGAGCTGAAACAGTGCGGACCATTCGTTGGTTCTGGCTTGTTACAGGATTAATCTTGTATTAATTCAACTTTTTGAATTTTTGAGTTAAATCTCAATAATGGTGGCTGTTTCAGGTGTTACAAATCGTGGATTAAATGCTAAACTAAATGCTATTGATTCCTCACCTCCTATATAAGAAGGGGTGTAGCAGCAGTGTTTCAACACAGACTGAAAACAACACACACAACACTGAAATTCTGTTTTCCCAGCTCCAAAATCTCTGCTCCTACTCCCTTCTTGTAGCTGTGTTCGTCCCATGCTCTAGTTCGTCGGGTTCGTTCGTTTGGGTGCTGAACGTCGAACCGTTGTACGTTTTATCCTGGGAAACCTAGGCGACAACGCTCCTAACACTTTTGGGAGGTGGCGAATAAGGTTTTAAGGAAAGACAGGCACTTTGCCTAACTCGTACGAATCTTTGTTCCTTCTCCTTCTTTCTTGTTTTGGATTATGCTCTAAGCAAAAATCCGTTCTTTCTTGTTGTTTTGGAATTATAATCTAAGGATTATATTTTCTTTTTGGTTGATATATATTGGTATATCTTTTTCGTAGATATACATGTATATATAACCGTTGGGTCCGTTTTATATATATTTGTGTGTATATATATATTTCGGATATATATCCAATAATATTTTATATATATTTCGTGTGTATATATATAAATATTATTTTACGGATATTAAATCGATTGTGGTTCATTATCACCAACAGTCTTAAAACCTTATTTCTTTGATAATGAACAAATCGTTGGATTCCAAAAGTGTTGGATCCGTGAATGTTGCCAGAGGTGCACATTCAAATGGTCAGAACGGCAACGATGTTGCACATTCTGTGATGCCGGTTGACGGCGGCAACGTTGGGAATAATATTTCCATGGGATTTGCAAAAGCACACGATGGTGCTCCGGAGAACGGTGGTTCACGATCCGGTAGACCTGTGGCTAATGGCACACAATTGGTACCTATTGTGCTGCCTCACGGATCGGCTAAAAGCCACGAAGGATCCTATGATGGTGTAATAACTACATGGTCTGAGGACTATTGTAGTGTGACCAATTACTTCAACCGTAATCAAAGGAAACTTAAGCGGAAGCTTATCTTTCAAGAAGATTACGAGAAGAAGGAAAAATGCCACTATGAAGCGAACCGTCATCCTGGTGAGAAGGTTGAGGACAACTTCGCTATGTTTAAGACATGTGGATGGTTGGACGAGTGAGGTCACAACCGAGGTACCCCCGATGTGCACTTGGACCACCCTTCGTGGAGTGGACGGTTGGAAAATGGAACAAGGCACACGGGTTGAAGGATTACTACGAAATAGGAATAATGGAAATTAATTTCCAATGTAATTTTCCTATTTATTTATTTGTTAAATAAATGTTGTAGTATCCTTGTGATACATTTTATTGTTGAATAAAATGAATTGTTCCATTTGTGTGTTTTGAACTTTGTATATTTTAAAATATTCTTGTGTGATATTTTTAATATATATAAGATTCAATAAGGGTGCGTAGTGCATCACGGAGCATTATGTGGAAAATGCCAAAATGGCTTAACGGCCGGAACGAAATGTAACAAGCGTGTTACATGTTGAGATCCCGTAACGAACTTTGGTTCAGGATCATGTAGAATGATACGGATTTCAAGGATCAATCTGTCAAAAAATTGGAATAACTATATAATCGTGAGCATCACAGCTCAAGTGTTGAATATTTTTAATAATATTCTAAGAACGATTATATGAGTTTGATTCAACTAGTTGGAAAATTTGGTTGATTTGTTCTCGTTAATAGTGTTATAATTAACTTGATCAAAAATTCCAAATTATACTAGTATATTTAATTTGAGACAAATTATGTTTTGGTGAATAGTGCTTTTGTAGCACTAATGGAAAGTGCAATTTAATTTGGCACTTGGAAGTGCAAATTAAAACACTGTAACATTAGGCACTTTCGGCCACTTGGTGGCTGCACCTTTAGGTTTTGAAAACTTAAGCATTTGGTGCTTTAGTAATAGCAATAAAGGTGCTAGATTATGATTGGTCATAATGCTAATCTACTTAGCTTAAACCTTTCGTATAGTATGTGGCTAATTAAATTTAGCGTTGTAAAAGTGCTTTGTGATTAACACGAACGGAAGTTTAGTTAATTGTGTAATTAACTAATAATCCTAGTGCCAGGTAGCACTGTAATTATAAATTAAGCAACGAAAGGTTGTTGTGAGTTTATAATTTAAAGCAATAGAGATTGCTTTGGAATCGATGCGTTAGTTTAGAAGCAATGATTCGTGCTTGGTATAGCATGTTTCGTGCTTCACTACTAAGCACTGATTCGTGCTTCAATTTCGCAAGCACTGATTCGGGTTTGTGGCCTTTCGGTCAAAACCGAATGGATTC